ACACTGACAATATAAAAAGGTTCCAGGGATTTATAATTAATATATACACATGCACTCGTGATGAATGATGTTTCTTCTCTAAAAGACATTTGCGAAGTCCATGTACTTCTGAAGCTGAAGTAATGGGAATACTTTTCTCTGACTTTCTAAACTCATCAAGGGCTGCCACCAGAGAGGGATTAAGCACCAAGTCATGTAAATGACCATTTATCACCTGATGTTATGATGCTACACTCTCCACTGTTACACAATACCAAAGATGATCTTCACCTGCAGCAAGAACATATTAGCGCTCCTGCAGAGAACCATCAATGTGCTAATAAGTGTTCCCCAAACTCCCTGCATCACCAAAACCTTTCACACATGAAGATGTTCAGGCCTCCTCTCTCAATGACTTAGTGGGGTGTCCTGGAATCTGTTCTTTTGTAAACACACTCCCAGGTGACAGGAAACCACTGGTAAAATCAACTGCCTTGAATTACGAAAAAGAAGGTCAGGGTCTCTTTGACTTTGACTTTTCTCACCTCAACATTTATTGTGGTTAAGTACCATCATTGATGGCATCAAGTGTGGCAGCGGTAGTGAGGTTGGCCCAGGATCAGACATTGTTTCGTTCTGCTGTGCATGGGGTCGCTATGAGTCGGTTCCAACTCGATGGCACCTGACAACAACAACAACAACTGTTGTGTCGGTTCCAACCCACAGTGACTCTGTATAGAGTTTCTTAGGAGCAGCTGGTGACCTTGAACCACTGACCCTGCAGTTCAAACCAACTTTGCACTCCAGCGCATTACATTAGAAGAATTCTGCGGACCAGGCAGAATTCTTTATAGGAATACCTGGAGATAGTACATAGAAACCTATCCCCTATGAGTAAAGTCTGACCCACAAGCAATCCTACAGGACAAATTAAAACTACTCCATAACTTTCCAAGCTGTAACTCTTTAAGGAAGCGGATTATCTCATCTTTCTCCCATAGAGTAGGTGGTGGGTTCCAGCTGCCGACACTGTCACTTTAGTAGCAAAGTGCTTTAACCATTGTACCACCAGGGCTCCTTCAATATCAAATCCGTATTCTCTGATTATAAACATTAGCAACAAGGCTCTTGTCAAAATGGAAAGTTCATTTTGAAAACAAAAAACCCACATGATTTTAAAATAAAGGAATTCATTAGGTACTGCTACAAAATTACCAAGGACCCCTGGTGGCACTACAAGGTAAGTACTGAACTGCTAACAGTTGTTGGCAGTTCAAACCCAGCAGTTACTTCTCGAGAGAAAGATGAGGCTTTCTGCCCCCATAAAGATACGTTGTTGTTATGTGCCGTGGAGTCGGTTCCAACTCACAGCGACCCTGCACAGAGTTGCCGAGGCTGTAAATCTTTACGGGAGCAGAAAGCCTCATCTTTCTCCCGTGGAACAGCTGGTAGTTTCGAACTGCTGACCCTGAGGTTCACAGCCCGATTTGTAATCACTACGCTACCAGAGCTCCTTCTATAAAGATATACAGCCCCAGAAACTCTATACAGGGTTGCTAGGAGTTAGAATTTGGCTCAATGACAGTGGATTTTGGGGTTTGGTTGAACAGTTATTTCTGGTGTTAAGTCTCCTGTTGCCTCTGGTGACAGTTTTTGCCCTATGGACCCCATACATCAAATCTCCCTGTGTCCATGTCACCATCCCAGCCTATGGACTGGAACTCCTGAGCACATTTCTCCTTCTGAAGTATGTGGTCTGAGCCTACAGGCCCGAGACCCTGAGTAACAAGTTCCACATGTCGTTTAGATTGCTAATTTTGAAGCTGAGGGTCAAAAACAGCCTAACCTGTTCTCTCATAATTCAAGACGCTTGTTAATTTATCCAGTGGTTCTCAATTACCTAGATGAGTTTATGAAACATACAAATTCCAGACTGTTTATAGAGGAGCTCTAAGGACCTCCATGTGTGACAGGCTTCTCCAGTAATTCTAATACGCAGGCAGAATTGGCAACTCTTCCTTGACCACAATGCCACTCCAGCGGAGCCATGAAATGTGCTATGTGGTACAGATGAAGTTTATGGTTGTTTTTAAGGACTAGAGCAATTCACCCTCAGGTGGGACTGGTCTTTGCAATTCACAAGCATAAATTAAAGCCAAGTACATTGACCTTTGGACACTGAGACCGCTAAACTTCACTCATTGAGACAACCATTATGTCATATACCCACCCCAGAAATAAAAAAAATATATTTAGTTTATACCTCAATTAAGTCTAATTTAAGTAAAAAACCTATTTTAGTGGCAGGTAGCATATTATATCTAGATATTTCTGTAAAATCACTATCACTATAGCTTATTGATGATTTACTACGGATTTATACGTTACTAGTCAGAGTCTACAGTGTGACGCTGTAGGATAAGCACTAGACTACAAGGTCTGTTTGAACTGTAAACCCACCAGCCGCTCCTTGGAAACTCTACAGAGGGTCGCTATGAATTGGAAGAGACTCAACAGCACTGAACAACAACAAAGGCTCAAGGCTGGATGCTAAACATGAAGAAATACAAAGCTATTTCTAAATTACTATAATCATTATGACCCTCTGTACTAATCTTATGCAATCTACCACCCTCTTAGTAAAAACTCGCATACAAACAAATCCCTACAGTTAAATAGTATTCAAGGAACGCTTACAAAGTCCATCCGCGGGCCCTGAAACAATTTTAATCTAAAAGAGCATTTCCTTCTGAGTGACACTAATGAGAAAATGTACAGCCTGTAAGACTGTGTCTTAAAAACCAATGAGACCAATCCATCCCACAATTTAAATGGCAGAAGTGTCTCTCAAAAGACTTTTCACTCATTTCTCTGCCAAACAAAGATTCCTTAGGTCTCTGAAAACATCAGGGAAACATTGGCGTCTACATTGTATCAGAGGGTCTTATAGGAAAACTAGAAACATGAATCAAATAAAGCATTTTAAGTTTCATTATATTCTCCATATGAAGTTTTCATTAAGTCACTGAAGCTAGACTCGTTCTAGTACCTAAGCTCTGCAAGTTGAAAAACATCAGAACAGGTTTTATCTTGAAAAAGATTTTAGAGCTGTTCTTGGCTAGTGACACATGCAACACACACACGTGTGAGCACACCAAATATGAAACCTCTACAAAGATGTCCTTTGGAGCGCTCTAGGACACTTGAAACTCATCATTCTTTTTTGGAAAACCGAGCAACCAAACCACAAGCCTTCTGCCCATTCCTGCCAATAGAAAGGCACATGTGTGTGTGGTGGGGTGGGGCAGGCATGGAAGGAGTCACTATATAAACCCAGTATGTGTTTCCATTTTGCAGCAATTGTTACAAGTTCATCCAGTATAGGAAAATGCAAAACTACATTAATCTTTCAAGGAAAAGAGGAGAAAAACACATAAAAGTTATGATTCAAAAAAAAAAAAAAAGAAAATATATTGAATAGTCTCTTTGCCAGGCACTTACATAGCTAATCCAAAAACATCTGATGACAATTTAAAGGCTAATCTGTAATTGACTTGAAGCCACTTTCTATGTTCTATATGCTGTCTGACTGCAGAGGATAGGGTCTGGATCTGGATGAAGAAGGATGTTGTCTAATAAACTCATTTAAATCCCTAACTGGCTTCACATTGGCTCTGGACCAGTTTCACATGCAACTCATTCCAAACACAATGGCCAACATAACAAGAGGACCCTTCACACAACAAGGCAACCGGCCACCTGCATCCACAGGCAAACAATCTACCACTTATCAGCAGGCATTTTGAGCTCATTACTTAACTTCTGTAGGTCTCAGAGTTTTTACTATAAAACTGAAATAGTATGATTTCATGGAAAAATTTAATACATATAGCGCATAGTGCCTGAATTATAGAAACTTTTCAATGATAAGTGGTCACTTCGTCATTATTAATTTACATTCAAGCAGTAAAGATAACTGTTTTGCTTGCTTAAATTATGTGGGCCATTTCAAACAGCTGAGTCTTCAATGAACTATTATTGCTAATGTTACTGAAATAGGTAACATTTGAAAACCTCTCCCATTAATTCCCAGATCTCATCAAGGGTAGATACCTCACGAAGTAAACTCATGTGCGCCTGTTTCTACCATTCATCCAGAAACCAAGCCACAAAACTCTGATCCATTTGTATTTGAAAAGATACACTGTACTCTCATTTCTGCTCACTTAAATACGGTTTCTTTCCTGTCAAACTCTTCTTGGAAGACCAGCTTGCCTTCTGCTTGCCAGCCAATTTACCATTTCTTGGATTAAAACTAGAGACATTTACAAAAAAGACCCAATTCTGACAGTTTTTGACACAGAGATTAATGCTAAAAGATATATGAAACAGACAAGACAATGGTGGAGGTGATTGTGAGCCAAAAAGTCAGTTTCAACTCAGAGTGACCCTGTATAGGGTTTCCATGAAGGTAAAATATTTACCAGAGCAGAAAGCTTAATTTTTCTCTCTCAGAACAGCTGGTAGTTTCGAACTGCTGACCTTGAAATTAGCAGCCCGACTCACAACCACTACTTTACCAGAGCTCCTGGTATAACTCATCTCCACGCTCCCTACGTTGATGGACATTTTACAAACAGTCAATAGAAGAAAGAAAGCAGCAATGTTGAAACTCCCCCAACCACCTCAAAGATATTATGAGTTTCAAGACAGCAAAGGTTATCTAGGTCCAGTGATGTCAAAACAAGCACTCATTAGTCACATAACACCAAATGGGAAAATGAAAAATTAAAATTGGGATGGTGCATTTTACCTGAAGCCTAGCTAGAGTGAAGGCTTTACCTTACAACACCTCCTTATTCCCCTGCTTGCTCCCAGCTACTAGCTCAGAAGCATCTCTTTAGCTTTCACGTTGTATCAGGCACTGTTTCCCGCAGACGGTCAAGTTAAAGATGAAGCAGCAAGGAGCAGCACTACCTTGAGAGTACAAATAAGGACATCCCCCAGCCCTGCCCCCTTACCTGCAGAATCCGCCCCCTCGGCTAGAACGCTCTGCGTGGGAGCTGGGTCTGGGTCCTTGACTCCATGCACCTGAGCAGCTTCTTCCTGATTTGTCAAAAATGCAGAGCACAGATCAGATTCAAGGGCTTGGAACTTAAGCAAGGAATTCTGCCAGCAAAAGCAGAACATCAGGCTAGCTCAATAAATGCCTAAAGCCCAGCTGTGAGACCACAGCTCTGGCAAACACGGATGGAAGGAGGGATGTGGCCACGGCTGCTGCAGGCAAAGAGCTGGTTGTGTCGGATTCTGCCTCGTTTAAATCCTAACGTGTATGAACGATCAGTGACACACGGCATAGGTGATTTCGTCAGCAAAAGACGCTGCGCTCAGACAACTCATCTGAAAACGGTTTTGCTCCAAGGGCTTGAGGCTTTACGCTTTGCAAGTTTTTCATTCATTGTGCTGACATCAGGAGCTGATGACATTAAGCCCCTCCCAGACTACCATTCATAAAAGCCATTGCTCCACCCCCCCACCCCCCAAAAAAAACCCTGCAGCAGACCGCAGTGCATAAAGAGTTACTGCTGCAGAGGGCGCCTGGCATCTGGGAGGGGCTCCAGGGTCCTCTTCTCTGCATCTGTATCTGGTATTTATGTGTTTTCTAAAGTTTCTTCTCACATGGTATAACTGCCGCTGCTTTTTATCAAGAGCAGAGCTGAGAGAGATGACCTTGGTCACCCACTATGGCTGAGCCACTGAGGGAGAAGCATTTTACCTTTCATAGACCCCAGCATAACCCCTTACCCATTTCCTTATCCTCATTTAAAAACCTCTCCCATGGCTCCTAATCAGAGCAAAGTACAGACTGACGCACACATGCACGCACTCTGCAGTGATTCAGACGCCCAGAACATGAATTCCCTGACCAGGTGAAAGTGAGTCACACCCGAGGCCCTGGCCTCATACCCTTCCCCGCTAAGTGGAAGCACTGCAGGGCTCAGCAGCTCCGGAGGGGATCAGTCATCCGGTGCAGAACCATGGTCCTCTTCTTACTATGACCCCTAATAGCTACACACACATATACTCGTTTCTATTCACACCCTCTGCTCCACATACCTGATCCTCAATATCCTCACACACTACCTGACACCATTCTTCCCACACCCTCACAC